GAGAAAAACCACGATGTGGCTTAGCTGAACCAAGGTCCGGCAAAGCCAACCCGCAGGAAAGGTTTAGAGAAGGGTTTAAATCCTCTCAGCTCCAGGTAGGGATGAGGACGGGGAAATAAACCTAAACCCGTGCCCTTTAATGGAGAAGAGGATCAGAGGTGAGTGCCCTCTGCACATCCTCCTCCAGCGCTGGCACGGCCGTGCCAGGCAGCCTGCGCCCAGCCCCGGGGCGGGGGGGATCTCTGTCCATCTCGAAAAGCTTCGTTCGGTTCGAAACTTCTTTAAAAAAATACTGTTCCGGTGGAAGGTCACAGTGGTCCTTTGAGTATGAAACGGAGAGACCCCCTTCCCCCTTCCCCATCACGTGATTCATTAAATAATTAATGCAGAGGTTGCAGAATAGATATGTATTCGTCAGGAAAATCGCAGACATGGTCTCCTTGTGTCTGACGTGAAATTCAACTGTCCTTTAAAAAACAAGCCTATAGCTGAGGGAAAAAAAAGAGAGAAAGAGCGAGAGGGAGAGAGAGAAAGAGGGGGAGAGGAGGAGAGAGGGAGAGGGAGAGGGAGAGGAGTCTGCAATAAAACAATTCTCAGGAACCACGAAGCCACGCCGAGGGCTGGATTATTGTAAGTAGCAGGGGCTTCCCAATTCCTAGCGTGTCTATATGTCCATGTAAATTTATTGTTTGTTATTAATGTTATTGTCGTAAAATGTGACAAATAGCCGTCTTCATTTCCTCCCATTTCTCTTCACATGGTGGTATGTGTGTTTATACCCATCGAGGCATTTCATTGATATTTTTAGGAATATTCCTCTCTCTCCCTCTCCCTCTCTCTCCTCGCAACCTTTTTTTTTTTCCTTCCCCCCTTTCTTGATTTATTACAATAAACATGTCAGCAGCAGTGCGGCTGCCATTGTGTGTGTGTTTGTGAGAGAGTTGTGTTGTTTATAGTGGTGTCCAAGATAAATCATTTCTCGAGTGAAAATGATGTGCAAGCGATGATATTTTAGAGCGAGGATCTCTCTCTACCCCACTCCCTGGAGTTGATTATTTCAGACGATTTACAGTAATAGATCAGCAGCTAATATGAAAGCTCTGTAGCTGGGGGTCTTAAATTACAGCATCTGTGATTACCAATTAAGGAGAGATTTGTATAAATTTGGTAAACCGGGAACGCCTCATTGGCATATAAACCTAGTAAAAGAGCACGACCTTAATATAAAAATTACAGCTCGGAGTCCTGCGTTGCAGCATCCCTTTATCAACGATAACTCATTTTCTCCCCAGTTCCCATCCCCCGGCAGGACTCCTCGCTGGAGAACAGGCACAGGTTGCTTTAGCAAAGCAAGGCAATTTCTGGGGGTGCCCTGTTTTAAACCAGCCACGGAAATCGGACTTAAAATGCAACTCAAAAAAAAAAAAAAAAAAAACACAAAAAGAAAAAAAAAAAAAAAATATTAAAAAAGAAATATTAAAAAATTTAGAACCAAAAAAAAAAAAAAAAGCCATAAAAAAAATAGAGACACGACCCTGGTCCCAGGCAGGAAGGGGAGTTTGCCCGTCAAAACCAGAACAATGGGGATCTGCGGGAACTGGGGCGCTGCCGAGGGACCCCAGCAGAGGCGGGTTGTCCCTACAGCCACTGGCAACAAGAGGAAGGGGAATAAACTCATCGCGGGTGATTCCTTGTGCTTTTCTGGCAGGACGATAACTTTGCGCGGCTTTTTAGCTCCCGGATCTCGCTAAGGCTGCGATGGTGACGGATGGAGAGAGGACAATGTTCTGATGATGAAAGCTGGAGAAGGTGCTCTAAGGAATATCTTTCTGTTTAGGAGCCCGGGCCTGTTATTCACCTCGGGAAAAGCAGAGCTCCGAGGAGAAATAACACCGAAAATAGGCTTAAATAGTAGCAGAACCTGGCCGGCAGCTGTTACCTTTTTAGTGGTTCCTATGTAAAATATAGCTGAGCTGTAACAGGGAACTCCCTCTCAAGCCACTGAGGCAGGGCAGCGAAGCCGAAGCTTTGGGGACGAGGTGTGTGTCCCAAACGGGGAGCACCGCTACCTGCTTTAATGTCAGCGCGGGGAGCGCATCCTCCGCGGCAAATGGGAGGTCGGGAGTCAGGCACTGCCCTCCCCTCCCGCCTCCAAACTGGACCAAATTGGTCCTAACCGGGAGCGTTGAAAGGGAAGGAGGAAGTGGGAGATCGCGTTTTTAAATATTTTACAAGCTCCAACATGCGAGGAGTCAATAAAACTGACAACAGGAGCAGAGATTAAATGTTCGCACCGGATTCTCGGATGAGAATTCACCGCTTTTCCCCCCTTCCCTTCCCTTTCCTCCCCTCTGCTCGCCAGCCAAGTCTCACGCCGCCCGAGCGGGGATATTTAACTCTGTCCGCTAGTGTAAACCTTTATGTAGCAAAATTAGAGCAACTCAGCGACTTTCATTAAATATTAAGGGAGATCCAGGGACGGTGACTGAGCCAGAAGTAAAGCATCATTCTCTGTCAAGCCCCGTATTAATTTAAGTTGCCGGCTTCGAATGGATGCAGACCCCCTCCCCCTTTTTTCACCCACCCCCCCTTTATTTTATTCGGTGGTATTTTGTTTTAGATCGTTGCGTTCTTTTTTTTTTTTTTTTTTGTCTTTCTTTCGGCTTAGGATGCTGAGCATGAGAAATTGGCCCTTGGCGGGGGGCGGGTGCGGGCTCGGTGCGGGGGGAGCCACCCCGCAGCCCCCGCCCTGGGCAGCAGCCCCCTTTAAATCAATACCGGGGCTTTATTTATCCCCGGCCCAGACGCCTTTGTGCGAGCGTCGCCCTTTAATAACATGATGTCAGGAGGAGATGGGGTGGCCGAGGGCTGCCGGGTCGCTCTGGCCGAGCTTTCGTGCTGGGGACGCAGCCCCGACCCCGGGGCACTGCCTTCCCGGCCCGGGAGGGGAGCCCGGACCCGGGGTGGGGCTCTGGACCCGAAATACGACCCTGGATAAGAGCCCCAGACCCCGATTAAGAGACTCAGAGCCGGGATAGGATCTCAGGTCCTGGATGAGAGCCCTACACCCCCATTAGGAGACCCAGACCACGATTAGGATCCTCAGACCCAGGAGGGCACCCCGTAACAGGGATAGGACCCCAAAACTCGGGAGAAGAGCCTCCAACCTTGGAGGGGACCCCAGACCCAGGATAGCACCCAGACTCGGGAGGGGACCCCAGACCCAGGATAGCACCCAGACTCGGGAGGGGACCCCAGACCCAGGATAGCACCCAGACTCGGGAGGGGACCCCAGACCCAGGATAGCACCCAGACTCGGGAGGGGACCCCAGACCCAGGATAGCACCCAGACTCGGGAGGGGACCCCAGACCCAGACTGGGAGCCGGGCCGGGCGGCGGACGGC